GAATGAAGAGAAAACTCTAAATAAGTGAATACACAGAGGGAGATTATATTATATAGTGGAATGAATGGGTTTTGGAGACACACTGAGGTTCACATCTCAGGACTCCCATCTCCCAGTTGTTTGATCATAGGCAAAATGTTTAACTTCTCTGAGACTTGGTTTATCTATAAAATGGGCATATTTCTCACTTGCAGAGTTCTGATGAAGATTTAAAAGGATAATGTGTCATTCATTTGCTTAAACTCTCTAATGATTCACTATAACTTAGGAAAAAAATTACAAACCCCTTCAAAAATTACCTTCTTACTTTCAAAGAAAGGAATCATGTATTTTGGTCTCAACATTTCTTCAAATATGCAAGTAAAAATGTTCAATAGGTAGACAAAACATAGGCTTAAAGTCAGAATTCAGGGAAGGGTAGGGCTTCTCCGGTGGGTCAGTGATAAAGAATCCACCTGCAATGTAGGAGATGTGGGTTCAATGCCTGGGTCAGGAAGATCTCCTGGAAAAGGAAATGGCAACCTATCCCAGTTTTCTTGACTGGGAAATCCCACAGAGAGGAGCCTGGTGAACTACAGTCCACAGGGTCACAGAAAGTTGGATACAACTTAGCAACTAAACCACCACCACCACAGGGAAGGGTACACAAGAGACAAGCAAAGCTCAGTGTCATCAAGCATTCAGATCACAAATTTATTCAAAGACTACTATCTTCGTAATTTTGATACACCAGTCTTTTGATACACTCCTCCTACCTGATATTATTGTTATGAATTTACTTATTAATCCCTACTTAACAAATATTTTCACAGTAATGAGCTATAACAATTTTCCAACTACCCTAGAACAAGTAAGCTCCTTCCTAACCTCCTCCCTTAGCATGTCATAAGTTTTCTAACATTATAAACATGGTAAACTCAGCTTTTTCTTTAAGTAGACCAAAAACTTTTAGTTTATCTCCTACCTCCAAAGTAATTCTCTATTATTGACCAGACACTAAAATTGAGCACAGTCCCAGGTGGCACAAGTGACCAAGAACTTGCCTGCCAATGCAGGAGACATAAGAGATGCTGGTTCTATCCCTGGCAGGAAGACCCCCTGAAGGAGGGCATGGCAACCCACTCCAGCATTCTTGCCTGGAGAATGCCCATGGACAGAGGAGCCTGGTGGCTACAGTCCATAGGTTGTAAAAAGTCAGACACGACTGAAGTGACTAGGCTTGCATGCAAGTGGGATCTGGACTTGGACTCCACTTACTTCCAGTCTCAACCTTAACTACACATTTCTACTCTTTTTCAGGTTTTTTCCCATGTATTGATGCCACTGTTTCCCCCATCAGAGAGTAAGCGCCCCTAGAGGCAAGAACCATATTATATCACCTATTCTCATAGCACTTAGCCTACCATGTCCAAAAATATCTATGCCACTAGCACATACACATATTCAATAATTTCTTTGTTTTCTTTTGTATTGTCTATTTCCCAAAGTTAAATAATTAAAACTAATTTGTAGCCTATCCCAGCTACCATTTACTGAATACTTACTATGCATCACTCTGTAATTTTTTAATCCACAGAATATTATCACATTTTATCAACTCTAAAATATCATAGACTTAATTTTAGAGGTGTTAAGATGTGAAAAATAGTAAATGGTGACTATGAGGTGTCACTCACTAGAAGACATATTCCATTTTCAGAGATCTTAAAATGCAAGAAAAAAATGTGCAAGAGAGGGCTTAAAAATTTTGTCCTCAATAATACCTGTTAACCAGGTATTACTCTTACAATCTTCAGTTACAATCTTTAGTAACTGGGGGAGAAATGGATCAGAAGCAAGCTGATTTAACTACTTCCTCTCCATAAAGTAAAATATATATATAAGCAGTATGTGTTGATATGCTCAGAAGAATACTTACAAAACTGTCTTGCAAACATCTACATTCCCAAACTTTTTATAATGATAAAGTTCAAAAGATCACTGATCACTCCCATGAAAAAATTCATAGTAATTCATAGTAATTCATACTAAAACCTAAAATTCATACTGACAAATTTTAGACAAATAAATATGCCCAACTTTATTAACAGGAATATTTTCTTTTCTCAAAATGGCAGCACAGACTTGAGTTTGTTGAGAATACAAAGAGATGAATTAAGCATTTTTCATAGACAAAGTATATATTACAAATCAATACCAAAGTAATTTGCCAATATACATACAATTAAACATTTAAAGGCAAAAAATTTCCAAATGACTATAAAATTTCACCTAACACACTGACATATCTAACGACTGATAAATTTTACAATCACCCAATAATAGTTCCAGTTAACTCCTTAGATATTTACTCAACCCAAGATCAGGTTCTAATATGACTTAACTGAAATTGATTTATAGGTCAAATTCACTCAGTATTATGTACTTCAGATATTTTCAATTTGTTATATTAATTTAAAAAACACTATGAATTAAGAACTAATAAGTATATAAAAATTCTCATCTTACTTCTCCATTTCTTAATGTTGTGATGACTCCTCTTGCTACACCCATTCTAAATAGTGTTTCTGTGGCCTGTGAATTTAAAAGAAAAAAAAACCAAAGATAAATCATCTGTGATCTGTATTGAACTGTACATCCCAACACCAAAATGCAAAACATTCAACATTACATTTTTCAGGAACCTCTAAAGAAGCATGAATAAGGTATAATAAGCTTTATACTATACTCCAAAAATATCATTTTGAGAACATTTTAATGTTATGAAGAGCTCAAACTGCAATGTTTCAAAGGTTATTTTGATCTGCTATTATCATTTCACACCTATAGTTTCAAATTAGAACACTTAAATAAGTATAAAACTTAGTCTGGTTAACAAAGATTAAATAAGTACTTAGAACTTGAATTCAATTCAGAAACTACCATTTATTCTGATTGGTATATAAATACCAGTCCAAATCACTTGACTGGCACTGAAATACTGACAGAAAATGAAGTAATTCTGTGATGTCATGTATTAAATAGCACCTGAAAAGACTTAATGCTTTCTATACACTAACAATGAACAATCCTAAAAGGAAACTAAGAATTTTGTTTATAACAGTATCAAAAAAAATTTTAAAGACATAAGAATAAATTTAACCAAAACAGCAGAAGACTTATTCACTGAAAACTAAAAAACACTGCCCAGAGATCTAAAAATATAAATAAATGGAAAGACATCATCAATTAAAAGACATAATATTGTTAAGATATCAATACTATCCAAAATGACCTATAGAGTCAATGCTATTCCTATCAAAATTCCAATGATTTCTTTACATAAATACAAAAATCCATCCTAAAATTCATATGCAACCCCGAAGACCCCAAACAGCCAAAATAATCTTGAAAAAGAGGAACAAAGTTGGAGGACTCACACCTTCTGATTTCAAAACTTACCTTAAAGCTACAGTAATCATAAAGATATGTATAGGCCAATGAAACAGAAGAGAGAACCTGGAAACAAACTTTATAAACGGTCTAATGATGTTCAAGAAAGGTACTGAGACCATTCAATGGAGAAAGGACAGTCTTTTTAACAAATGGTACTGGGAAAACTGGACAAACACTACTAAATTTGTGAATTCAGCACAACATGAATATAATTTCAGTCCATAACTCAGAGAGAGTTAAAATACGCCACTAATAGGGAGGAAGAAAGGTTATCCATACACACAAACAAAAAACAAGTGATGAATGACTTTGCTATGACAGATTTTTACAAACACATATACAACTAGATGTTGAAAGGTTTACAGACATTTTTATTAAAAGAAAAAATTTACCAATAATACATTGTATTTTTTTTCCATTCTTAATGATATGTACACTAAATTACATCTTCCATCTTCCTGTTTCTTTTGAAAACCTTATTTAATCTAGTGATATGATTAACAGGCCTCATCTAGGTCAGGTTAGTTACTGTATATATTTGAGAAGAAAAAGGGGAAAGGCAGAGGCAGCAAGCACTTGGGATAAAATCCACAACTTCTCCTCTAAATCACATCAAACTACTTTACTCTTTTGTAACTCACAAACATGAGGCAGTCTAAAGATTTAATTATTCTTTTGCACTTTCTCCAATAGAGAAAGAATACTAAATTCAATCTTTTGTTTCCAACTAAATTGATTTATTTCATGAGCTCTTCCCACCAACATTTTTAAGGACATCTCATTCTGACAGCTCTCTGTCAATTCAGCTCAACTTCCTTTGATTCTATAGTAAAGCACTGGAGTGGACAACATTATTTTGACCTCTACTAAAGAGGCTGCTTTTAATTTACTTGTACCCAAACAACGACTAACAAGTGTCCAAAACAATGAGATACAGGGCTAATTCTCAGCATCTGTAAATTTACCACTAACAAATTTTTCATTGAAATTTCCCTCTCTTCGAGTTTTGATAATAACTAAAATGATTAATACTAAAAACACTCATTAAACATTTGTCAGTGGCAGAGAAAAAACCATCTGTAGCTTCTCGGTTAAAAATGTTAGCAAGAGAGACTGCTTTTAGGAAAAGTGTTGGATAAAGCAACTCAGGGACATGAAATCTAGATGTAAGAAATGCAAATTTGAAGAACAGATCCTTGTGTTTGGGGGTATGGGTATATGTATGTATATATGTGTGTGTGTGCATGCGTGCACACGCACAAGCCAAAAAAAGATCCAAAAGGATCTTTTCTAATATCCTATCATGCACATATACCATTTGCTAACAGTATAAAGAAAAATGGAAAAATAAAAGTAACAATTTTTATACACTAAAAGATAAAATAGATTTAAAACAGAATTTTGGAACAGTGTGAAATATTATAAGACAAGCAAAACTACACTGAATGGCTCTCAAAGTGAAAAGAATCAAAATTCAACAGAGACTCATGTTCTTACAGTTCAATGCATTTTAACTCATTAAAGCAACACGAAATAAGTCACCTTAACAAGAAATACAGGCTTTCCCGGGACCCCCACCGCCGAGATGAGCTTTAGCCGTCTGTATCGCCTGCTGAAGCCAGCGCTACTTTGCGGGGCTCTGGCTGCGCCGGGCCTGGCTAGCACCATGTGCGTGTCCCGCGACGACTGGCGCTGTGCTCGCTCCATGCACGAATTCTCAGCCAAGGACATCGACGGGCGCATGGTTAACCTGGACAAGTACCGGGGCCACGTGTGCATCGTCACCAATGTGGCCTCGCAATGAGGCAAGACTGAAGTAAACTACACTCAGCTGGTCGACCTGCACGCCCGATACGCCGAGTGTGGTTTACGGATCCTGGCCTTCCCTTGCAACCAGTTTGGGAGGCAGGAGCCAGGGAGTAATGCGCAGATCAAAGAGTTCGCCGCTGGCTATAACGTCAAATTCGATATGTTCAGCAAGATCTGTGTAAATGGGGACGATGCCCACCCTCTGTGGAAATGGATGCAAGTCCAGCCCAAGGGGAGGGGCATGCTGGGAAACGCCATCAAATGGAACGTCACCAAGTTCCTCATTGACAAGAATGGCTGTGTGGTGAAGCGGTATGGTCCCATGGAAGAGCCCCTGGTGATAGAGAAGGACCTGCCATGCTACCTCTAGCTCCACAAGGTGCTGCCCCTACCCAAACCTGCTGCCTGTGTTCCGAGGAGCCTTCCCCCGGTGCCTATGACGGTCTGTCTGAAAACCAGCCCCTGGTGGGGCAGACCCGAAAACCTGGCGTGCACTCCTGCCGGAGGAAGGTCCCTTGGCCTGGCTGTGGCTTGGCAACCCCACCCCTGGCTGCCTTGTGGGAATAAAATGTACAACACAACACAAAAAAAAAAAACAAAAACAAGAAATACATACTTAATAGACTTTGCCTTGAAAATCATCATATTACAGAAGGACTTCAATGGGTTAAATTAATATGCAGTTTATACATATGAATACAAAAGCTGTATTTAGCATATATTTATTTCCTACTTCCTATATTTACATCCTTTTAGTCAAGCAACTAGAATTCTAGTTATCTTATTCCCACGATTTACTATCTTGGTAAGCCTCAGACAGGTTGCCAAGACAGTAAATAAGACCTGACCTCCTCTGTAAAAAGGTGACAGTTAATATCAGCCTGTTTTCTTCTGTTGGTTAGTGGTTATGTTAATGTATGTAAAAACCTCAGTAAAGAGCTACATAAAGGTAAAATAGTGAGTCCAGGGTCTACTTTAGGACTTCGTGAGATGAAAAGATGTTTGATAAAACACTCATTTTTATGTATTTCCAGGGCCTTAAAAAAATAACATAAAGATTAAGAAAGCAGGTTTTAGAAACAGGCTGCTCAGTTCAAAATCTAGCTTTGTTATTTGTAAGATGTGTGATCCAAACAAGCAACTTATTTCTTTGAGTGCAACTTCATGGTTAACAGAATCAGGATAACAACAGTATGGAACTAAAGGAAAATTATAAGTGTTCAATAGATGATTTTATTATTACTAATATCCTAAAGAAAATACAAAATTCCAATTCTACCTTAAAAAGTGGTCATCAGATTACAGTTAAAAATACAATTAAAAACTACATCAGATGGGAATTAAAAATGTACTATATAAAACAGTCAACCACAATTAGCACATTATGCCATATGGCTATTTATTTATGCTAACATTCTTGACAAGACAACCGGAAATAAAGAAAACTTACATTATTTCAAAAAGATTAATTTAGCTAAAGAAATAATATGCAATAGTCATTCCCCAGCTGTTTATCCTGGCCACAGAAGAAAAAGAGATTTAAATACTGAAGCTTTTAAGTACCAGCTGCTTTCCTTCTTTATGATGATAAAAATACAAAGTAAAAAATAGGAAAATTAAGCATTAGCTATCTCAGTTCAGTTCAGTTCAGTTCAGAAGCTCAGTCGTGTCTGACTCTTTGTGACCCCATGGACTGCAGCACGCCGGGCCTCTCTGTCCATCACCGACTCNGTGTCATCCGCATATCTGAGGTTATTGATATTTCTCCTGGCAATCTTGATTCCAGCTTGTGCTTCAACCAGTCTGGCATTTTGCGTGATGTACTCTGCATAGAAGTTAAATAAGCTGGGTGACAATATACAGGCTTGACGTACTCCTTTCCCAATTTGGAACCAGTCTGTTGTTCCATGTCCAGTTCTAACTGTTGCTTCCTGACCTGCATACAGATATCTCAGTGAGCTATAAGAAAAGCCCAAGCATACTGTAGTGGGTAGCCTATCCCTTCTCCAGCGAATCTTCCCTACCCAGGAATTGAACTGGCATCTCCTGCATTGCAGGCGGATTCTTTACCAACTGAGCTATGAGGGAAGCCCTATTAGCTATCTGCTCCTAACTAAAGAATCACTGCATTACAAAAGTCTAATCATATACCTTCCAAATACACAAAGGCATTAGTTTAGCAACCGAGACCTTTATGAAGTCCCCAAACCTTTCTCACACTCTTCCCTCCAGGCAGCTGCCTAGAGCCCACTGCTTTCTGGCTCACGAATTACAGTTCATAATCTCAGGGCCCTTGCACCACAGCAGTTACAGCCCAGGGAGCAAACGCTCTGAGAGGAGCTCTGTCTGTCTAGCCAGGAAACAGGGAAGGGGGCTCGAGCGAAGCAGAGACTGTGTAGGGAATTAATTNAGGAAACAGGGAAGGGGGCTCGAGCGAAGCAGAGACTGTGTAGGGAATTAATTCCTAGCTTGGGGGGGAGGGGGGGCGGGGTGGACAGGAGGTGTTTCCTTTATTCCTCTTGACTCTGCCCCCAAGGACAGGTCCCAATTATACGATGAAGCGGCACCAGTTCTGGTAGTTAAAGCTACAAAATCAATTCTGTTTTTCTAGGCAAGGGTCTGTGGAGAGAGGACACTTGTAATCCAAAGAAGAGAGGAAGAATCCTCACTATTTTTTTTCCCACTCTTTTTCTCTATTCATTTCCTCCCAACAGCAGACCCTGGGCAGTGTATGCAGCTGAGACAGGAGAGTAGACAGCTAGAGCTCTGAGAGCAATCTGTCTTTCTGGCCAGAGGACCAGGAAAAGGAGACCCAGTGAAGCAGAAACTAAAGAGGTAATCCCAGAAAGAAGAGCTACATAAAGGAATCCGTTAACTAAACCTGTGTTTGAACTAGCAAAACTACAGAGCTCACTCTCCCATCAGCTGATGCATGGAACAGACCTAAGTAGCAAAGCAAAGGCTTTGAGGGGAAAACTACAATTAAAACTACCACCCAAATCCTAGCACAGCCGATGAGGGGCACACACAAAGCAGCACAAGAACTAACATTGGAACTCACTAACAAAGCAACTGACATTGGAACTGCTGCCCACTGGAGGTGAGACAGAACTTGCAGTCTGAATCTAACAGGTGACTGCTAACGACCAAAGTAAAAAATAATGATTAACAAATAAATAAAAATAAAAATGGCATTGAAACAGGTATATTACCATATGTGAAACGAATCTCCAGTTCAGGTTCGATGCATGAGACAGGGTGCTCGGGGCTGGTGCAGTGGGATGACCCAGAGGGATGGGATGGGGAGGGAGGTGGGAGGGGGGTTCAGGATGGGGAACACAGGTACACCTGTGGCGGATTCATGTCAATGTATGGCAAAACCACTACAATACTGGAAAGTAATTAGCCTCCAATTAAAATAACTAAATTTATATTAAAAAAATAAAAATAAACATTTAAAAAATCATCACTCTCTAGAGCATTTTAACACAACCCAGAATCACACAGCATTATATTCAAAATACCCAGAAACAATCCGAAATTACTCAACCTGCAAAATACAAAAATCTTGACCACTTCTCACAGGAAAAATAATCAGATGTCAAAATTACCAGATAGGGCTGGTAAAGAAGCTATAATAACCGTGTTTCATGAGGTAAGGTTAAACACACTTGCCATGGATGGAAAGAGAAGTTCTCAGTAGAGAAACAGAAATTGAAAAAAAGTGGAATTATTGGAAATGAAAATTATCTGAAAAAAATTTAGTAGATGGGGACTCAGGAGCAGAATGAAGATGAAAGAGGAAAGAATCAGTGAACTTGAAGATAAGCAGATAAAAATAATCCAGTCTACAGAACAAAAAGAAAAGATTGAAACAAAAATTGAGCAGAGCTCACACACTTGCATGAGAACAATCAAAGATGTACTATTTATTTGTAGTATCAGAGACCTCACTTCAGTTCAGTCACTCAGTCATGTCCAACTCTTTGCGACCCCATGGAATGCAGCACACCAGGCCTCCCTGTCCATCACCAACTTCTGGAGTTTACTCAAACTCATGTCCACTAAGTTGATGATGCCATCCAACCATCTCATCCTCTGTCGTCCCCTTCTCCTCCCAACTTCAATCTTTCCCAGCATCAGAGTCTTATCAAATGAGTCAGTTCTTCACAAAGTGGCCAAAGTACTAGAGTTTCAGCTTTAGCATCCATCAGTCCTTCCAACGAATATTCAGGGCTGATTTCCTTTAGGATAGACTGGTTGGATCTCCTTGCTGTCCAAGAGACTCTCAAGAGTCTTCTCCAACACCACAATTCAAAAGCATCAATTCTTCAGCGCTCACTTTCTCTATAGTTCAACTCTCACATCCATACATGACTACTGGAACAACCAGAACTTTGACTAGATGGACCTTTGTCGGCAAAGTAATGTCTCTGCTTTTTAATATGCTGTCTAGGTTGGTCATAGCTTTTCTTCCAAGAAGCAAGCGTCATTTAATTTCATGGCTGCAGTCACCATCTGCAGTGATTTTGGAGCCCCCAAAAATAAAGTCTCTCATTATTTCCATTGTTTCCCCATCTATTTGCCATGGAGTGATGGCATGATCTTAGTTTTCTGAATGCTGAGTTTTAAGCCAACATTTTCACTCTCCTCTTTCATTTTNTCGTAGTGATGCTTCCTAAGGCCCACTTGACTTTGTTCTAGGTGATGTCTGGCTCTAGGTGAGTGATCACACCATCATGGTCATCTGGGTCATGAAGATTTTTTTTGTATAGTTCTTCTGTGTATTCTTGCCACCTCATCTTAATATATTCTGCTTCTGTTAGGTCCATACCATTTCTGTCCTTCGTTGTGCCCATCTTTGCATGAAATGTTCCCTTGGTATCTCTAATTTTCTTGAAGAGATCTCTAGTCTTTCCCATTCTATTATTTTCCTCTATTTTTTTGCACTGATCACTGAGGAAGGCTTTCTTATCTCTCTGTGTTATTCTTAGGAACTCAGCATTGAAATGTGTATATCTTTCCTCTTCTCCTTTGCCTTTAGCTTCTCTTCTTTTCTCAGGTATTTGTAAGGCCTCCTCAGACAGCCATTGTGCCTCTTTGCATTTCTTTTTCTTGGGGATGGTCTTGATCACTGCCTCCTGCACAATGTCACAAACCTCCATCCATAGTTCTTCAGGTACTCTGTCAGGTCTAATCCCTTGAATCTATTTGTCACTTCTACTGTATAATCATAAGGGATTTGATTTAGGTCATACCTGAATGGTCTAGTGGTTTTCCCTCCTTTCTTCAATTTAAGTCTGAATTTTGCAATAAGGAGTTCATGATATGAGACACAGTCAGCTCCCAGTCCTGTTTTTGCTGACTGTTTAGAGCTTCTCCATATTTGGCTGCAATCTGATTTCAGTGTTGACCATCTGGTGAGGTCTATGTGTAGTCTTCTCTTGAAGTGAACATTGACATTTTAGGAATCAGCGAACTAAAATGGGCTGGAATAAGTAAATTTAACTCAGATGACCATTATATCTACTACTCTATGCAAGAATCCCTTAGAAGAAATGGAGTAGCCCTCATAGTCGACCAAAGAATCTGAAATGCAGTACTTGGAA